GGGCCGGGCTGGGGATTCGAACCCACTACCTTAGGTGTACATGGCTGGTGCCTTAGCCCGTTGAGCTATAGGTGCCAGAACAAAGTCTCAAGAGCTGTGGTGTTGGCCAGGCGAAGGATCTGGAGCTAGGGGAAATACCACACTAAAAGCATGAGCAAAATTACTGGACCTCAATGTGGAAATAAAACACGCCATTCGGTAGGGTTTAAACTGTAATTGAGTAATGTCAAGCCAGTGGGGAAAAAATCAATAAAATTACACGTGCCGTTTAATATGCTGCACACTGTGTCATTTTCCATTCAGCATTTTGATTTATTTGGCTGGGTTTTTCTTCCAGGGGAAAGCTTTGCAGAATTCAGATCTGCAGGAACTGATGATGGTTTCACCGATTTTAAAACAGCCGATAGCGTATCACCACTAGAGCCACCGACAAAGGACAAAACTTTTCCAGCATCCTTCCCCTCAGGAACTATCCAACAGAAACAACAAACACAAGTGAAAAATCCTCTGAACTTAGCAGAGCTAGATATGTTTTCCTCAGCTAACTGCAGCATCGAGAAACCATTATCTTTTTCAGCTGCATTTAGCACATCAAAGTCCGTTTCCACACAACCCCAGCCAACAGGTTCTGCTGCAACTATGACAGCTTTGGCATCCACTAAAACTTCTGGTTTGGCCGATGATTTTGGAGAATTCAACCTTTTCGGGGAATATTCTAGTCTGGCATCTGGTGGGGAGCAGGATGACTTTGCAGATTTTATGGCTTTCAGTAACAGCTCTATTTCATCTGAGCAAAAGGCAGATGACAAATATGATGCCCTTAAAGAGGAAGCTAGTCCCACTTCTCTAACCAGCACCGTGGGCAGCACAGTGAAGAGCGGGCAGAACTCCACTGCTCCGTCCACCAAGTACGATGTCTTCAAACAGCTTTCTCTGGAAGGATCCGGACTAAGCGTGGAAGACCTGAAAGATAACACTCCTTCAGGAAAAAGTGATGATGATTTTGCTGACTTCCACTCCAGTAAGTTTTCTTCCATGAGCTCGGACAAATCCCTGGGAGAGAAAGCTGTGGCTTTTAGGCACACCAAAGAAGACTCAGCTTCAGTGAAGTCCTTGGATCTCCCTTCCATTGGTGGCAGCAGTGTTGGCAAGGAGGACTCTGAAGATGCACTCTCTGTTCAGTTTGACATGAAATTGGCTGATGTGGGAGGAGATCTTAAGCATGTCATGTCTGATAGCTCTTTGGATTTACCAACAGTTAGTGGCCAGCATCCTCCTGCTGCAGGTGAGGAATTGGTGAGATTGCTCTGGTGATGGTGACATAGATTCAAAGATGGTTCTGTGGGTGTTGATTTACCTAAGAGTGAGGCTCTGGCCCTTTACCTTTATGAGTATCTAATAACGAACCTCTTTGTTGCCAGTGTCCTTAAAGCAGTGTTAACTTTGATTCTGTGAATACTTGAATGGATGTATGGATACTGTGACTACTGTGGAACTTAGATTGGGTAGCTAAAATATTTTTATTTTTGAAATCTAACGCCAACCTGGTATTAGAGGCTCATAAAACCGCACTGCTAACTGAACTCCACATTGCCAGAAATTTTCTAAAGACTTTGGCAGTGTCAGCCATGTTCCTCCATCTCTGTGAGTGCACTTAATGTTTCCTCTCCTTTTTTTCCTCTCTTGAGCATCTTTAGCAGCTGCCAATATAACATTATATTTAGTTTACAGAGACCGACTCTGGGTTAGGTCAAGAGAGTTTAAAAATGTCTAACCAGTTGAACTGCAGTTTGCCGCATCCCTTCAAGAGAAGAAGAGGAATACAATTTCAGGTACAGGCACAAGATTTTTCAAAAAGAGAAGAAGCGAGAAAGAAAGTTTATATATGGATGTTCCGTAGGTCAGGGTCTGCAAGGAGAAGGGCACGCGTCCTTAGTGGAATGCAGGTAGTGTTTTCAGTGTTACTATTACTGGAGATATTAAGTTGTAACAAATCTGTAGATGCTAGAATAGGGTAACTACTGACTTTCTGATAAAATGTCTGACAACATCTTACAGGGGAGCCCTCTTTCAATCCTGTGGAGATTTACATGTAGCAGTTGATTCTCTAGTCGAACTTCCTGTCCTAAAAACTAGATTTCCCAAGTGTCCTAATTTTTGTTTGTTTTGTTTTTTTTGATATGTATATAGAAAGATAAACCTATTTTGTGGCCTTTAATAATGAGAAATATCTCAGTATTACTGTATTATTCTAGAAAATATATTATGCATATGAAGGGTTTGGTTGGTTTTTTATTTAACTGGAAAGGGACACACAAGGCACTTCCAAGTTTACAGATTCTGGCAGAAATATTGATATATATATCAGATTTGTAAGTTACGAAACAAAATTGCATCCATCCTTTGGTGATTGACACAGGGGCGGTATTCTTAAACAGGGTGCTGGATGAGGGGTGAGTTAGCAGAGAGCAGATGGTTGCACGTAGCTGCTTGCTAAGGTATTTTCCAAGTGCAGTGGGCAGTCTGAAAAGCTCCTTGTGCCCTAGACTGTCTACTTACTTTCTTTTTGTACTTTTGCTCAGAAATTTTCTTATTTTTTTGCTGCTGCTTGTTTTGACGAAGTGATTTTGGTTTTCCTTTTTTGTATGAGCTGCTTGAGCCACACCAGTTGGTTGCAAAGTGCTCTGTTTTCTGAACACCAACATTTGTTTTTTTTATTTAAAATTCCCATAACGTGTATACTAGCCTTTGGGGCTCCAGTGTTATTAATTAGAAGCTATTTTTCTGAAAGTGAATCTATATTCTTTCACAGTGCCAAGCGAGATGTCTTTATGAGATAAGTCTAATCTGGGTTGGGGGCGTCTTTTTTGAATTTTTTCCATTTCATGTGGGGAGGGGAGGTTGGTTTTTTGACTGAGCTTGTTCTTACTGACCTGTTAAAATAATCCTCTGTGCTCATGTTCTTTTATGTATGTTTGGAACATTCCCAGCTTGGAACCTGTAATGTTCGAGCCAACTCGCTTCAGTCTGAGGAGATTCTTAAACACAGATTGTTCCCTCCCATTGATCTGTAACCTCCTGTCGGAAAGGAGCAGTATCCCTTTAGAGCGGTTGTTAAAAGGGGTTGATGTCTGACCCACGAGCTGGATAGCCGATGCGCAGAATTGCCGCGTGAGGTATTGAAGAGGGTAGCAGGGACTTCTTCATTGTGATGTGGTTTTATTTATTGTCATATTTACCACATTATCTCTTGCTCTTTTAGCTTGGGGGTTGAAGGTACTTCTTGGAGAAATAGGAACTGAGCTGATGTCAAAAGAATAAAACCTACTAGATGGTTCTCAATGGGCCTTAATCCTGTTTAGAAACCCTAACTTAACTCTGAAGGGGATACTGTCTCTTTTAACTCTTGCTATAATTCTTTGTATGGAAGGTAGATAATACTAATAACATTGCCTGAGTTCTCTACAATTATGACATTTAACCCTTTGAGCTCTTGCTGCATCTAATTTTAACTAGGTTGCTTCCCCCCCAGCCCCTAAATTTAATCTCTCTGGCACTGAAGCAGCTTAGTGCGCAGTCATTAAGATCATCTGTTGGCAGCAAGAACTAAGCCCCATTTGTGACATCCTCAAAGGGTTAGCAAGACTTCTGTAGCGACCTACCTACCAACCTGTAAAGTAGCTCTTCTTTGACATTGAAAATCTTTGTATTTTAATTAGCACCCTTTTTTTGGCTGCTTTTCTGATGTCTTTTTTTCAATTTAGACATTTTCTGTGTGGATGTGCCTTCGAACTTGCTTTAGTATATTCCTCTGCAAATACTGATCTGCATGCTTATTCTGATGACTTCTTTTCCAGCTCTTCTGTACCACTATCTTTTGTGATCTGTAAGTCCTGTGTTAATAAATAATTCTTTGGCATATTTTGAAAGCGTGGGGATGTGTGTAATTTGTATTTTTTTGAGGGTCAGACCAAAGAAATACCTGGCCAGTATCAGATTTAAAGCTATAGTATTGGCCAAGCATGGTGGCTCAACACCTGTAATCCTAGCATTTCTGGGAAGCCAAGGCAGGAGGATCACTTGAGCTCAGGAGTTCAAGACTAGCCTGAGCAAGAGTGAGACCCCTGTCTCTACCAAAAATACAAAAACTATCTGGACAGGCGATGGGCACCTGTAATGCCAGCTACTTGGGAGACTGAGACAGGAGAATCACTTGATCCCAAGAGTTTAAGATTGCAGTAAGCTATGACAGAGCAAGACTCTGGCTTAAAAAAAAAAAAAAGGTAATGTATCCCCTAAGACTAGGGAGTTTTTCCCTTTTGTTTTATTTCCCCAAACTCCTATCCTCTAAGAAAGTATTAGCACATTTTAGCCTTTGCCCCTTATAATTCCACTGATATAAAATTTTAACATGGCATTAGAGTTAAATACAACTTTAAACTTAAAAAATAAAGTATGTAAGCCTTACACTACTTTACATAATAGAGAGAGAGAAAATTTTCATAGAGGGCCTATACTTGGAGTTACATTATGACGAGAAGGGGAAGATGAGGAGGACCTAAGAGTGGAGTGGAGTGTTGGGGAAAGAGGGACATAGATACTGGGTAACTAGATATTTATAAACAATTTTAAATAAATTTATCAAATAATATTGAGCTAGACTTCTGAGCACAGTAAATGTAAACTGAATTTGAATTGTAACTATGTCATGGAAGTGTTAATATTGAAGTCTTTAGGACTGAACTTGGCTTGAATTTGAAATTGGGTGCTCCATCCTCTGATTGCAGGGCATGTTATTTTTCTGATTTCAGAATGTATCATAAAGCAAACCTCAGTCTTTTTTTATTCATACCACATAAAGCAAGGTCTTGAAACAACTTTCAGGAATGTGTCGAAGTAAACTTTGAACCATTTTCATTCTGAAGAAAACAATTTCTAGAAGGACCAATGAAAGTGAGGGACAAGAGTGAGCCAAACTTGGAGGATACTTTCTCCATTTTAGAGTGTGACAATAGCAAAAATCCTTAGAAATACTGTTTTTCAGGTCAGAAGCCTAAGACTAATAAAAACCTTAAGGGGGAAAAAATGGCTATTTTTATGGTTTAACCTTTTTATTCTTCTGTTTTAAAACTTTTAGTTCTGTGTTCTCTTTTAGAATTTGGGGAAGAAAGGAGATTACATTGCCGTATATAAGGATTTTGAGTGGGAGCCTTCAGAGATGTTGTATCTGAAGTCTGCTGCCACTTGAGAAAGTAAAAAGTTGCTGGTTGGGTTTTATTTTTATTGTTATTATTTTTTTATTTGCTGGTTGGGTTTTAGATTAACTCTAAGAAAAGCTGAGCCTACCATTCAAAATACAGTGTCTGCCAGAGCACTGTGCTTTAGAAAGTTGAATTTAAAACACTGGTTTTAAAAATCTTATATAAATGTGTTACATTTTAATTATGATGTAATCTGCCAACAAATTTGAGAGGCAGTGATGTTAGTGTAACTTCCTTCTAGTGTAGCTTTCATCCAGCTGCCTTTTGTGCAGGTTTTTCCTGTGATATGAGTGAGACCATAGGAATTCCTTTGCCAGTGAAATTTCCTAATGCTAGATTGGTCCATCTGAGTCGTATTTTAACTCCTTTCTGCATTTGTGTGAGTAGGGCTACAGAAAATGACTGAGTATCTGTAACTGTGTGTAAGGCATATATTCACAAATTGAACAAATTAATATCCCAAAGTGACATATTACTTTTCAAGGGAGTAGTTTTAATAATATAGTGATAGAAATATCTCTTGCAATAAAGACTTGAAGAAGTCTATGTTATCATTTCAAACAAACCAAAAAGTACTGTTCTGTTTACCCCAACACCATTAAAGTAGGGTTAGTGCTTTCACATACAAGTAGCAGTGCCTGAGAAATTAGACAAATGTATTTATGTTCTATACTCACTCTATTGTTCATGTTAAGTCCCTGTGATTTTTAGAAGTAGCAAATGGACATAAAGGGAAAACTAGTAACATCGAAGAAGCTGTGTGAAACCCTAAAATGTGTTTCTAGCTCTGTGTTTTTCTAGCTTTGGAGTACTTTTGATAAGTTGTTTTGGAAAATGCTAGCCCAGTAACTCTGAGAGCATGAGAGGGCCATACATCTAGGGCAGACAGTCTTTTGGGTGATGCCCTATCTCTTTCATAGCCAAAAGGCCCAATGCACTTGCCCCCCTCTGTGTTTATCTGGTTGTCTTTTAGATGAGATTTTTATTGATGACCACAGGCAGTTCCCTGGTATATCCTGACATCATTTCTTGGTCTTCTAAACTCCTCCGACTTAAATATCTACAGGTTGCAGTTTTCTTTTTTGAACCTACAACACTGACACAAAAATCTGAAGATGCTTACAGATAGTGTAGATAAAATTTAGAGTTGTATGAGTCAGAACAAATGAAGAATGAGAGGTTTTCGTGCAAATGAGGATACACTGGAAGGCAATTATACAGCAGTACTTTACAGCCGTTCACAATTAACACCGTGATCACTTTCATCCCTGTTCTCTTCAGCAGTACCTAGCAGGGTGTTTGAGACTTACAGGACACAGACCAGGTTTTATAGTTAACAGAGGATATGAATATAACTGATCTCACAGATCAGCAGTTCTCAACCTGTGGGTCGCAACCCCTTTGGACTGTATTAAAGGTTCACGTCATTAAGAAGGTTGAGAACCATTGTCATAGATAGAGCCAAGATAGAATAGGGCCTAAGGTGTAGAATAGGGCCAGGAGTGGAGAGAAACTGAAATGTACAACTGTTTTATGGTTTGCTTCAGTAAAAGAAGTCCAGATTAAATCAGTACTGAAAATTAAAAGATATTTCTTCCTTAGTCCAATGAACATTTTTATTGCTATATAAAACATTATAGTTGAATTTGCTTGTACATCTCCTTTCTTCTTTCTCTAAATGCCTTCAAAAGCTAGTATCTCTTAAAAACCTAGGCATTTGCTTGTAGCTTTAGAAATGTCCATGGGACTGAGTATGGCCTTCTGTGTCCTGTAATGACAGCTCACATTCTTTGTTCCTAGAAGTACTTTCAACAGCATCCATTGAAAAGGGATTTGAATAGAGGTTATAGAAGTGACGGACGGGGTACTTGCCAGTATAAGCAAGAAATCCATGTTTTGATTTGCGATTCATGATGGAAAACAGATTGTATAGTTTATTCCTTTGGCCTGTGTTATAGGACATTGCTGGCTGCAAACAAATACATGTATTAAAGCACACAATTTGGTGTATCATCTGTGTGCAATTGCAGCTCACCCTAGCACAGCCGAGGAGTTACCCGGGAGAATTGGAAATACAGTCGTGATTCCCTGTTCATTTTATTGCATTCACTCTCCGCTTTCTTTTTCCTTTTTCTCTTGCAATTTTCAGAATTCAAGCTATCAAATGGAAAACTCGTCTACAGTCACTTCACTGATTACAAAATAAAATGTGGGTTATTCCACATCATTTTTCCAGATAAGGCTTCTATCATCTATGTTGTAGGTCTTAACATAATCTTTAATATTTTTTTAAGACTGTTATACAGTATTACATATAACTGGGCTGGTTTGGAAAATGTAGACACTGTATGTACTTTTAACATAGAAAGTGAAGAATTTTCTTACTTTGCTCTCAGTGAACTTTTTCTTAGAAAATGGTTTACAAATATTCACTATTCCAGGAGATCCTACTCTATATTGTTTACAAATGCCGACGTTTAGGTGTACAGGATTCTGTCTCAGATTCATCATGTACCATCAGTTTTAGTACTTAATGTGCTAAACTTTGAATTACACTTCGGTAAATTATACTTTTTCACACTATAATAGCTAATAAGCAAACGGTATTTATTTTAATTTCAAATTAAGATGAGGGTACATTGGTGTCACAGTGAGGTTACATTGTTGGCATTTGTTAGGCAGAGTCCAAGCTGTGGTTGTGCCCCTCCCCCAGGAGCTGTGCCTGTGCCCTGACCTTGTGCCTGTGAGATGAGAGCACACCCAGCCCCTGCTTTCCCCTCTTCTCCCCAACCCCCACTGGAGTTTGTGTTTTTCTCTTGTGTGGGCATGTATTTGTTCATCTGCTAGTTTCATTTTAGTATTGAGTTCATTGGATACTTTTCCATTCTTGAAAAATATGGAACATTTGACAAATTTGCATGTTATCCTTGCACAAGGCTGTACTAATCTTCTCTACATTGTTCTAATTTAATCTGTGTGCTGCTGAAGCGAGCCCAGCAAAAGCAATTTAAAACTCGACTTTGAAGCTCGATTATAGTGCATCCTTCTATATTTACTCTCCATTATTTTTTTAAAAATATAAAATATTTAAAGTTTCTCATTTGCTTATTTCTGTGAGTTGTTCCAAGAGGCACACGGTTGTAGGCATATCTATCGTTTTCCTTTTTATTATTTTTTAAATGAAGATAAGATTTATTGAAGCCCTGTATAGTTTTTAAATGCTTACAAGCTCTTCAGTTAAGATAATCCCTTATTACTTACACTGTCTTTTACCTGATTATATTGGTCATTCTAGTTTGTACAAAACTTTTTCTCTTGTTGCATAATTGCACAAAAGGGTCTTTTTATTACCATAGCAACTTGGAGCTATCTTTTCATTAAATTTATCTTTGGTTCAGGAAAATTGCTACCCTTTGAATAGATGAGATTCTGGGAGCAGTTCTTAATATAGTTTCCCAGAAGAGCTTTCTGATAGGGTCTAATAATAAAAATATCTGTTATTGTGAAATATTCTTCTGAATGTAGCCCTTGAAAGACTAGTCTTGTGTTTAACTGCCTCTGCCTGCTAATTGAATTTCACCTCATTTGAGTCCGGGCAGTTCTGATCCCTTTAAATAGTGGGGAGTGGGGGGGACACTGCAGCAAGAGAGTAAGAAAATGTTTGGTCTGAAGGTACGTTTCCTTCATTCTAAGCTATCAATTTTTCACCTGATTCTTTGTTTTTCTCTCGTTTAATAAACCACAGTTGAAGGATACTATTTGTATATACTACAGAATTTTTTTAACTATACCATCATTCTATAAAAGCTATTTGTTTTTTACTAGTTGGCTTTTTGAATATCTAGCGTTTTCCATTCTTATTAATAATTTAATGCCCTTTCTCAGAGAGCGATAGAGAGATTTGGGATACACTGTTTAGCAGAGCTATAGAAGTGTCAAGAGCCCTTTACCCTTCATAAACTATGTTGTATTGCAGTGACAGAAAAATGACCCAGCATTGGTCCACCTGTTGACTTAGTTCTGAAAATCTGGGCCACAAACCTTTTGAACAGTTTCCTTCTGAATCACATACTGTAGTTATCAGACACAGAATCTTGCATTTGGTCTTATTGCCTAAAATACAGTGGCTAAAAAAACTAATTGTTTATTACCAAGACTGAATGGACAGTACTGCAGCAAAGGTATTTATGTTCTACAATCAGCCTCAACTGGTTTTCTTTTGTTTTTCCTTTTTTTTGGTGGGGGTGGTGGGCAGAGTCTCACTTTGTCACCCTGGGTAGTAGAGTGCTATAGCACCATCATAGCTCACAGCAACCTCAGTCCTTTGAGCTCAAGAGATCCTCTTGGATCAGCCTCCCCAGTAGCTGGGACTATAAAGTGCCCACCACAATAGCTGGCTAGTTTCTCTAAGTTTAGTAGAGACAGGGTCTCTTGCTCAGGCTGGTCTCCCAACTCCTGAGCTCAAGCAGTCCACCCTCCTTGGCCTCTCAAAGTACTGGAAATACAGGCATGAGCCACTGTATCAGGCCTGATTTTGCTTTCTGAAAATGAGCAAGGAAGTCTTCCCCTAGTAGCACCACTAAAATGCTGAGTTGACTTTTTATTTTTACTTAGAATAATTCCATTGTAGGCCTAAATGTCAAATTGAAGCTGGTGGCAACTCTGCTGAACAAACACTAGCTGTTAAGTATTGCTCAGCAGGCCCCAAGCCAACCTTCCACACATATCATCACAGTTGAGCACCCTAACACAGCCCTTCCACGTCCACGGTCTTCTCCTCCTTTTACAGATAAGTGAACCAGGGTTCAGAAATGTTCAATCATTTGCCTAGTGTCACATAATAGTAGATGGCAGAGTTGAATTCAGCCCTGTCTAAATTTAAAAAACAAAAAACCCTGTACACTTTCTGCTATTTTGTTCTACCTCTTATTTTTGTTCTACCTCTTAAATTATTTAAACATATATTAAGAATGCTTTGAAAAATGAGTTTTCTGCCCTAGCATTTCTTTTTTTTTTCTTCTTAATTTTTTTTATTTAAAAAAAAACCAGAGTGGATACATAGTTGAAGGAGAAACAGGAGCCCAGCAGGACACAGAACTTTGATTCTATTTTTTAAATGCTAAAGTAGATTAGATTGATTTTTTTTTCCTTTCCTCGTAACTCCATCCCAGCAATATGACGTCCAAATTGAGCAAAATAACCAGGTAAGTAATTGCTTAATTAAAGTCTTGTATTTGGCCTTGCCTACGGCAGAAATTTTTAATAATTGATTAAAAGTTAGTGACATTATTTTCACTTTAGTTTTGAGAAACTGTCAATTTTTAATTAATTTGTCATGGACATTTCATTCACATGACCAGGTTTTAAAGCAATATTTTCTAACAAAGTCGAGACAAAAAGAGGCATGTTACAGGCAAGAAATAGCAACCGATTTTAAGGTTTATAAAGGAACAATTATGAAATGACCTTAATCATATATTATGCAGTATATGCCTTAGTAGATGAACCTCCTATCTTTTTTAGTAATTTTTATATTCAAAGAAAATGATTCTTTGGTAACTTAATATAAATACCAACTCAAGGCTAGCATGGGCTTTTCGAGATCAGATGTTACAGCCCCACTCTTAATTTTAGTATAGGCTCTAAACTTAGTTAATTGCAATGTAGCATAAAACTAATCAAGTACGTTAGGCCTTTTGTTTCTACAGAGGTTAGGGGATTCTGCCTCAGTCGCTTGCCTCTAATTGTGGGGTCTTATTTCCCTTTCAGATATAGAGGACTTAAAATATGCTGCTTTTGGAAGCTACAGTAGCAATTTTGCAGTGAGCACACATACAAGCTATGACTGGTCAGACAGGGACGATGCATCTCAGGGCAGAAAACTCTCTCCATTTGTCCTCTCAGCAGGAAGTGGATCCCCCTCAGCTGCCTCAGTTCTTCAAAAGAGAGAGACTTCCTTTGGCAGTTCAGACGTCATCACCATGACGTCTCTCTCCAAAGTAACGACCTTTGCAAGTGAAGACCCTCTTCCAGAGACTGCCTTCCCAGCTTTTGCCAGTTTTAAGGACACGATTGGACAGACCTCCGAGCAAAAGGAATATGAAAGCAGGGACTATAAAGATTTGACAAGACAGGACCTACCTATAGGTGAACGGAGCCAAGAGGCCTTGTGTCCAAGCCCAGCTTCCAGCAGTGCCTCTCACGAAACCCCCAAAGAATGTTCAGATGACTTTGGAGAGTTTCAAAGTGAAAAGCCCAAAATTAGCAAATTTGACTTTTTAGTAGCCAATTCACAAAGCAAAATGAAATCCAGTGAAGAAATGATCAAAAGTGAGTTGGCAACATTTGACCTTTCTGTTCAAGGTAAGTAGCTTTCAAGGTAGATTTTACTATCATGGTGTTTCCACCCAGGATTTAGATGTTTTTTGTTTTTTCTTTTTTTTTTTTGAGACAGAGCCTCAAGCTGTCCCCCTGGGTAGAGTGCCGTGGCATTACAGCTCACAGCAACCTCCAACTCCTGGGCTTAAGCGAGTCTCCTGCCTCCACCTCCCAAGTAGCTGGGACTACAGGCGCCCGGCTATTTTTTGGTTGCAGCCGTCATTGCTGTTTGGTGGGTCCGGGCTGGGGATTCGAACCCACCACCTTAGGTGTACGTGGCTGGCGCCTTAGCTGGTTGGGCTATAGGCGCCGAGCCTAGATGTTTTTTCTTAAGAATAAAATATTGGTTCCTGACTTGGCTAGGGCTCCAGCCACATACCCCAGAGCTAGTGGGTTCAAATCACCAGTAGGTTGTGGGCCTACCAAACAATGATGACAACTACAACCAAAAAAAAAGAAAGAAAGAAAAAGCCAGATGTTGGCTCGGCACCTGTGGCTCAAGTAGCTAAGGCACTAGTCATATATACCTAAGGTGGTGGGTTTAAATCCAGCCTGGGCCCACCAAACAACAATGATGTCTGCAACCAAAAAAAATTAGCCAGGCATTGTGGCGGGCGTCTGTGGTCCCAGCTATTTGGGAGGCTGAGGCAGAGACAGGAGACTCACTTGAGCCCAGGAGTTGGTGGTTGCTGTGAGTTGTGATGCCACAGCACTCTACCCAGGAGGATAGCTTGAGGCTCTGTCTCAAAAAAAAGAAAAGAAAAAGCCAGGCGTTGTGGCGGGTGCCTATAGTCCCAGCTACTTGGGAGGCTGAGGCAAGAGAATTGCTTAAGCCCCAGAGTTTGAGGTTACCGTGAGCTGACACCATGGCACTCTACCCAGGGTGACAGCTTGAGACTCTGTCTCAAAAAAACAAAAATATTAGTTGCTGGTTTAGCAGAAAATAAATTTTCCAGTCTTTGGAACCAGGATCAATTACAGATAACTATAGTAATGATTTCCCTGAGACTGAACAGAAGTCAAATCAGTAACCCTCAAATAACTGCTTTTTGAGCCCCAAATAAGCACCACACAGAGTTATGGTTCATTACCTTGTTTGCTTAGAGGTGTGCTGTGTTAAAAGGTCCAGAAATGGGTTCGATCCACTTGTAGGCACATTAGCGTTGCTCTTGTTCCCTGGTTATAGACAATTTCATTTAATGTAAAGGCTGCAATGTAATGGCTGTGGAGGTGTATCCAGCCTGCAGATTTGTTTTGATTGACCCACATAGTTTTTTAAAGTATGAAGTAAAGGGCAATACTTTTAAATCATGAGGTTTCTCAATCTGGATCTCTAGCTTTCCTTGAAAAGTTGCAATATCTGGCAGTACTAGGCCTGCATTCCTGTGACTTGCCAGTCAGCTGGAGCTGAGTGGTAACACTTCTTGTGGATGGGGCCTGCTTTGTCTTTGCCCAGGGTCCCCACCCTTCCTGTCTCCATCTGCCCTACTGCAGTTCTTTACTTCACTCGCCTGGTCTCCACAGACATTTGAGTTAACCTCTTCTGTTTTAATCCCATCCTGACAAAAGGGATCATTGGTTTTAGCTGGATTGAGAGTATATAGGTGCTCAGTTGCAAATCCCTAACAGATGTCTGGAAAAGTAGCACAGCTCTTACATACTGGTATTTAGAAAGGTATTTCTATGCTCTAGACTCTCGTGAGTCTGCGCTTAGAGTTATGGAAAAATTGTATTTTCCTGAATATATATGGAAAAATTGTATTTTCCTGGACATACATGGAAACTTTTTGTTACACTTTTCAACTAATGATGGTTCTGTCAGCTAGATGCATCTTTTCCTTCTTATTAATGATATTTTTCTTGGATTTTGCTTCAAAGGTTTTATCTGTACTTAATAGTTTTAATTTCTCATTTGTTTTCCGATTTCCACAAACACGAATATTTGTTATTATTGGCTAATACAAAACAGCTAAAAAGAAAGAATTATGGAAAAATCATGATAGATCACAGACAAGGAATGGAGAAAACTAAAGGCAGGGAAGGGAAGCAAGAGAGAAAGCTTGAAAGGATTCAGCATGTAGCTTACCAGACAGTGCATGAGGATCGTGTTTCTGAATGCGTCAGGACATAAATACCGAAAGAAGAGGGTCGTGTCAGCAAAGAAGAGCCTCTGCTGGAACTAAGCTGAGTAATCAAAACCTTCAACTGTACTATCCACTTCTCCCAGGGTCACACAAGAGGAGTTTGAGCCTTGGTGATAAAGAAATCAGCCGTTCTTCTCCTTCTCCAGCTGTGGAGCAGCCTTTCAGAGACCGCTCCAATACTCTGAGTGAGAAACCGGCTCTGCCCGTCATCCGTGACAAGTATAAAGATCTGACGGGAGAGGTAGAGGTAAGCAAGATAGTTTTTTGCAGGGGACAGGTAAAAGACCACGTGAGCACTGAGGTCCCCTGGAGAAAGTGCTTTCAACGTTCACAGGGGGGAGTGAGGGACAGGAAGATGTGAGGCACCACACACGAAGAGAATGGTTAGCCCTGGGCAAAATCACCTCCCAGATGTGGCATCCGCTGGAGGGAGTTAGTGACCCTAAAACTGAGTACTCACGGAACTTCATAAGGAGGGTGGTATTTATGGAATTCCTTTGAGCACTTACAGTTTTTAATGAATGTTAAAACCTCAAAATATCTGGGCGCCGTGGCTGACACCCGTAATCCTAGCACTCTGGGAAACTGAGGTAGGCGTTTGAGCTCATGCGTTGGAGACCAACCTGAGCAAAAGTGAGACCCCTGTCTCCAAGAACAGCCAGGTGTTGTGGTGGGCACCTATAGTCCCAGCTACTTGGGAGGCTGAGACAAGGGTGACAAAGTGAGAGTCTGTCTCAAAAAAAAAAAAAAAAGCCTCAAAATAAAGGAGAAGAGGAAAATATTCTAGATCTTCTGTTTCTCCTTTCTCCATCTTAGTCCCACTCTGTGTTCCACCAGAGCCAGCATGCTTGACTCCTCTTTGCCCCGTTCCTTGGTACGGGGGCATGGGCACACACCATTTCCTCACACACAGCATTATAACTTTAGAGTGGAAAGCCAAGGATTTGATATCAGTTTTTGTACTAGATACCCTCGTGGTGAACACCTCTGAAGAAAGCCTTAACACTGTTACTGACAGAACAAATAAGGCAGCGTTTACAGAGGGAAGCTGCTCTAAAACATTGTCCTAGATTCACAGGTCATGTGTTCAGAAGTTATATTTATTAGTGATTTTAAATGGTTATTTATGCATTCCAAAAGATAAACTGCTTGAATTAGAGTGATTTTAATAAAAAGGAAAGTCTTCCAAGGTCTTTGATTTGGCTGAAACCATAAATAGATGATTCCAGGCTTAAGCATTTAACTAGCTCTTTTTCTGAAATCCACAGGAAAATGAGAGATATGCATATGAATGGCAGAGGTGCCTGGGGAGTGCCCTGGATGTGAGTATGTCACCTTTGTGTTCACAGATAGAGGTGCTCTCTTGTGCCATTTAGCCTTGGTTCAGTTGAGTGGACAGAGGCGGACCTCAGGCGAACCTTAAGAATAGCCTTGTGCGAAGTGAAGCCCCCTGGAAAGTCATAGATCTTAAGGGAAGCTTCTTTCCCATTTGTGATAGCAAACACTGGCTCATTTGTCTGCTTTCCCCTCATCCGTCACTATAAAGAATGACAAAGTGATATCATTAGCTCTGCCTAGATCAAAGTAATATTTAAACTAAAGAACCTCTATCTTTTCTCTTCCAAAGAAGTAAAGGACTGTTTCCTCCAGGTTAAGTTCTCAGGTTAGTTTTGGCACAGTTGTGCACACGCGTCAGTCAGTCATGCTTTTTCACACTGCCTGGCTTTTTGGTTGGGTTTTCTACTAATAGTAAATTGATTTGCAGTGATTTCTCTCCGTTATATAAGGTGATGTAATTTCATTTCTTGTAGGTCATTACGAAAGCAAATGATACCTTAAATGGAATCAGTAGTAGTTCTGTCTGCACAGAAGTAATTCAGTCAGCTCAAGGCATGGAATATTTATTGGGTATGTTCATTTTATGTTTTATTTATTCAAAATCATGGTATTTGCATTATTTCCAGTTTTTTCTTCTGTTAGGTATTTTAAGCTAGATCTATCAAATTATGTAAGACCTCACTAAGTTATAAATGAGATACCTAAGTCACAGGTAATAACAGCTATTTGACTTAAGAACTCTATGGCGGGGCGGCGCCTGTGGCTCAGTGAGTAGGGCACCGGCCCCCTATACTGAGGGTGATGGGTTCAAACCCGGCCCTGGCCAAACTGCAACAAAAAAATAACCAGGTTGTGGCGGGCACGTGTGGTCCCAGCTACTCGGGAGGCTGAGGCAAGAGAATCCCATAAGCCCAGGAGTTGGAGGTTGCTGTGAGCTGTGTGACACCACAGCACTCTACCAAGGGCATCAAAGGGAGACTCTGTCTCTACAAAAAAAAAAAAAAAAATTCTATGGCTAAGTTTCTTAGTCCTTGTTTATATATCTATATGTGGATATGGATGTATGTACATATTTATATGTATAATAGCAATAATGTAAAATATTATCTTCGTTACTGGTTTATAAAAAAGCTACACTAGCAATACATTAAATGAAATCATTGTGACCCCAATCAGTGCCTTGCCATACTCTGTGGATTCTTCTTCTCTAACCCCTTAATGACATCACAGACTCATGAGCTTCCTGGACGTTTGCAGCTATTAAACATCCCCATCCAATTTGAAACCGCGGTCTCTGTCCAGTGTGGTGTTCCTGCCCTCCCTGAGCTCTGAACTCTAATCTTTCTCAGATCTTACTCAAATATCACCTTCTAAGCAAGGTCTTCCCTAGAATCCCTTTCTCAAAACAGTATCTCCTCTCCCCACCCTGGAACTTCCTATCCCCATTTCTGCTTGATTTTCTCTTTAGACCAATCACCTTTCATATCTCATATTTTTGTATATAGTTCCTGTTTTTTGATTTTTTTGTAGAGACAGAGTCTCACTTTATCACCCTTGGTAGAGCGCCATGGCATCACACAGCTCACAGCAACCTCCAACTCCTGGGCTTAAACAATTCTCTTGCCTCAGCCTCCCGAGTAGCTGGGACTACAGGCGCCCACCACAACACCCGGCTATTTCTTTCTGTTGTTGCAGTTTGCCAGGGCTGGGTTTGAACCCGCCACCCTCAGTATATGGGGCCAGCGCCCTACCCACTAAGCCATAGGCACCGCCCATGTAGTTCTTGTTTTTACTGTCTGTTTCCCTCCACTTGAATGAACACGTGAAAAGGTAGGGATTTTGGTTTTTTTTATTTACACCTAATTTAGTTCCAGCACATAGTGCCTACTGTATATATAGGCACTGAAAAGTATTTGCTGGATGAATGGAGAGTGCAGTAATATAGCACCTTCTTTACTCCTGTCACCTCACTTGAGGACTTAGGTCCTCTTTTCCTTTTCCTGTTCAGACAGGCACAATGCTGCTGCACAAACAGATAGGCACTGAGAAACCTTTTTTTTTTTTTTTTTAAGAGACAGAGTCTCACTTTATCACCCTCAGTAAGTGCTGTGGTGTCACACAGCTCACAGCAACCACCAACTCCTGGGCTTAGGCGATTCTCTTGCCTCAGCCTCCCAAGTAGCTAGGACTATAGGTGCCCGCCACAATGCCTGGCTATTTTTTGTTGTTGTTGTTGCAGTTTGGCCAGGATCGGATTTGAACCCTCTGCCGTCAGTAAATGGGACCGCTGCCCTACCCACTGAGCCAAAGGCACCACCCCAAGAAACCTTTTTTTCTAGTAGGTTTCTTTATGTCGACAGAAGATTCTCTTAGAAGCCCCTTCACTCAGCTTAGGGTGGGCAGTAATTCCCGTCCTTCCCTTGGAGAAGTAAGAGGAAAAGCCATAGTGCACACAGACTGTACTGCCCTGAAAAATCTGCTGGAGTCCCCCCAGTGTTCACTTAGAGAGGTTGCGGTCATATGTTTGGTCACTGTCGCAGGGATTTGGGATGCGTCTGATAAGGTGGAGATACTTGGCACCTCCTGTCCTTGCTTGAAGAGTTCAGCCACAATTCAGAGACCATAGGAACAGAATCATCCTGCATCATGTTAACTGTATAAAAGATCTGTAAAGCCAAAGAGTTTGTAAATCCTCAGGATTCAGAGGAGTGAGCTATTTTTTAATTACTTTATGATGATATTAACGTTTAGATTCTTTTAAACCTAAAAAAAAAATAGCTAAGTACTTACATATCACCTACTGTTCTCCAGGCACTATTCTAAGCCTTTTAGAGTATTTACTCATTCAATCCTCTCAACCATCCTTTGAGAAGGTACTATTATTATCCCAACTTTACAAATGAGAAAACCAAGGCACAAAGACACAAGGCACATATGACATGTCCAAGGTTACATAGCTAGTAAGAAGCAGAGCTGGGATTTGAGCCCCAAGCAGTGAGCTCTGGAGTCTGTGCTTTTACTAGTGAGCTATACTGCAATGCTGAGGGATGGATTGGTCCCCCAAAATAGTCCACTTGTCTTACTATCTTAATTCCAACTAAGATACCAGCAAGCAGTAATGCTGCCCTGTCTTGCCCACATCCTTCCCTAGACGTCCAGTGCCTAACTCTGCCCTCTCACTCCACCAGGTGTTGTTGAAGTGTACAGGGTGACCAAGCGTGTGGAGCTGGGGATAAAAGCCACTGCAGTGTGCAGTGAGAAACTCCAGCAGTTGCTGAAGGACATCGATAAAGTGTGGAATAACCTGATCGGCTTCATGTCACTCGCCACACTCACAGTAAGCCCATGAAACAATTCAGCAGTTGCTTTCCTTTCCAGAAACCTTAGTTGTAAAGTAGGCCGTACATTCCTGTGGTTCTGGAGGAGGCTGTAGGTGCCTGTCGATCTCATTATATTGAAAGAGGGAGGTAACGTGCAATTAGTTGAATAATACCAGACAGGCTTCTGGGTACCTCCTGGGCCCGTTGTACCTAAATAAAATAAGAGTATAGGAAACCTTCCACCCTATCTATATTGTTCTTAATTCACGCATATATATGAAAGTTTTGCAAAGCAGTGGGTGAGTCCATTTGCACTTCTGGTTGTGTATGTCCTTTCAAAAAGCTGTATGTTCTCTGGTCATCTGGTGGCTAAATTAGGGGGAAAAAAAGCTATATGAAGCCAGGCACAGTGGCACACACTTGTGGTCCCTGCTAGCTACTCAGGGAACTGAGGAGGATCACTTGAGTCCAGGGACTCAGGGCTAACAGTGAGCTGTAATATCCCCATTGCACTCCTGGGGCTACAGAGGAAGACCCCCCCCTCTAAAAAACAAACAAAAAGCTATGTGATATCTCATGTTACTATCCTATAGTTCATTTGGCCATTTTTGTTTTTTGTTTTTTTACCTTTTTTGATTCTTAGTTTATTTTCATCTTTTCCTGTTATGAATAGTTGTACTCCAAATAAGCAAATGACTTTTCTGTTTAACAAGGTTGCAATGATTCCCTTAACGTAGTTTTTATATTTCTTCCATTTCATGAGACTTTGCAGCCCAAATGATACTTTACTGTTTCTTTTTCCATTGTGTATAAACTGATCTGACTCTTTAGACTATTTGACTTTACGTATTTTTCGTTTGTAATAGATTTATATACTTACATATAGGCTCATAAACCTTTATCAGTTTTCTCCTCCTGCTATTGTTCCTTTTTTACATTTCACTAGGCAAAACTATTCTGTTTTTTACATATTCATGTGTATTCAGTTTGTCTGTGATGATAGCCTTTATTTCACAATAGTCAGAAGTTTATCTTCCTTCTACAGATGGAATAAACATGCTATTCCATTTTTAATAAAAAACATTGAACTTTGTGAGACATCTGAACGGGATTGCAGCTATGTGGTAGGAGGCAATTCTTACTGCTTTAAACCGATAGGCAGGTGGATAGCCAGCTATCCCAACATGTCTTAAACAGCCAATCCTCTCACCGTTGTTATATGGCTTCTGGTTTATAATATTAAATGCTTAAAGAGTTTGGATAATTTCCGAATCTGCATCTTGTACCCTTGAACTGTTTCTCAGTTTCTAACCTACAATCATACGGTTTGGCTAATTATTATTTAAAAAAAACTATTCTGGTCAATACAATAAGATATGGAGTATAAATATTTGGAAAAAAGATAAAATTATATTTATTTGACGATCCTGAGTTTTTTTGTTTTTGTTTTTGGAAATCTGAATTCAAGAGGCTAAATGTACTAGCAAAAATGTATAGCATTCTTACATACCAATAGTAGTTAAAAAATATATTAGAAACCTTATTTTTTAATCTACTAAATCATTCAAGCTTTTATCACTTTTAAACTTCAGACCTCATAGCCAGGGTTACTGAGTTCATTTTTTATCCCCTAGCAATCCATTTTAGCCATCACTACCAGACTGTTAAAAAAATGCAAATCTGATTATGTCATTTAAATCCCATTTAAAATCCTGCAGTGTGCTTTCATGGTCTTCAGGATCAAGTTCAAACTCCTTAGCTCAGTGTTGGTTTTTTCTATCTTCTGGACTACCCTTTCCTCTCTGGACTGCTTTTCCCCCTGGATTCTGCATCGATTTCTCCAGAAGTCATTCCAAAAGTCCTTTGATGCCCTTCCTGTGTATGTCCATAGCACATTTCTCTCTTCATTTTTCGTACACTCATGGCACTTGTTGATAATTGTGTGTTTACTTGTCTCTTGCCTGATAGTTTGTCAGTAAAGTATTAGTGTGCTTTATGAGTGTTCTATTGCAGAGTTGGTGAGACTTTTTACTTTTTGTTTTAAACTTTCTTGAACCTTCCAATTTTTAAAAACAAGACACCATGCATTTTTTTTGTGTTCTGTAATTTTGGAAACTAGTTGAATTTTTTTAAATAAATAGATAAGGAAAATGAAACCAAGGAAAAGTGAAAGTAGGGAAAATAAGATAAAGCCAAGAGTGAAATTAAGTGCTTAAAGATGTGTATTTTTAAATACTTGCGATTGTTAGGAGTGGTCTGTACCACTAGCTTTATGCCTTCTAGGGATTTCTGCACAGATGTCTTGATCTGTATGTATAACATAAAAACTCAGTAAGTACTCAGGAAAAGCATAATTATTCCTGCTACCAATATCAGAAAGAAACTTCTTTTATGGGTTCTCATAAATAGGAAACTAATGTAACCAACATTATTGTCACAAAAATATCCTTTCAGTAAATAATTCAACAAGTTTCATTAAGTAGTTTCCTGTAACATCCTTCAATAGGGACCAGATGGCATAGCTCTAAAGTACCATTTAGTAAAAGTCACTCTAAGTGTGGAAAAAACAGATTAAATGGTAAACCAGGAAAAAATGTAGCAGTGCACACTGATGGTGGGCTCGTGTCTTTGTTCTGTTCTGTAAAGGAAGCATACAAATCAATGTGGCACATACCAGCATCCCAGTGATGGATGAGCAAAAACACGAAGTCAGTCATAAAATAGGAAGAACAATTAATAAGTAAATATTAATCTAAACCAAGATTTCGTTTTTGCCTACTAATTAAGTCCAGTTTTTCTTTGCTTGTTTGGTTGGTTAATTTTAATCCTCATACCCCAGATATTGTAAAATGTGGACTATACCATGGGTGGAACTAACCTGTAGAAAAGGAGTTTGGCACCATGGTTTTCCTGACTGTGACCTTTTTTAGAACAGAGACCAAAACTACATCTTGTCATCTTTTGTTCTTTTTTGAGACATGGTCTATCATCCAGGCCTAGAGCACAGTGCTATTATCATAGCTCACTGCAATTTCAAATTCCTGGGCTCATGAGATCCTTCTGCCTCAGCCTACCAAGTAACTGAGCCTTACAGGTGTATGCCACCATGCCTGGCTAATTTTTCTATTTTTAGTAGACAGTATCTTGATCTTGGCCAGGCTGGTCTCAAACCCCTGAGCTCAAGTGATCCTCCTGCCTCAGCCTCCCACAGTGCTGGGATTACCGGCATGAGCTGCCATACCCAGCCCATCTTTTCTTGATCTGAGCACATTTGCCAGGCTTTACATAAATATTCAGTAAAAGGAACGCTGAATGAATTGATGGACTTGACAGATGTTCAGAGTGGTTGACTTTAAGAATTCCTACTCTGAGAAAACTTACTAAGGCAATAATTGTAAATATAAATTCATGAAAAAAAGCAAGGTAAGTGCCTAGAATTGTTCTTTATAAAAGAAAAAAATTAGAAAAAACCTGAAAGTTGGCTCATACCTATAATCCTTGCACTCTGGGAGGCCAAGGCAGGTGGATAGCCTGAGCTCAAGAATTCGAGACCAACCTGGGCAAAAGTGAGACCTCATCTTTACTAAAAATAGAAAAACTAGCCAGATGTTGTTCAGCTACTCAGGACATGTTTTTCCTTCTCAGATACTTCACTTAGGAGAACATTCTGTAAATCCATCCAAGTTGTTACAAAAGATACCAAGTCTCCATCTTTTCCATAGTATACATACACCACAGTTCAGGAATCCATTTCTGTGTTGAAGGGACTGGTTTGTTCCCCATCTTTTCATTTGTGAATTGAGCTGCTATAAACATTCAAGTGCAAATGTCCTTATGGTAAAATGATTTTTTTCCTATTGGATAAATACCTAGTAATGGTATTGTAGAATCAAATGGAAGGTCTACTTTTAGTTCTTTGAGGAATTTCCATACTTCTTTCCACAGAAGCCATACTAGTTTGCAGTCCCATGTGGCAAATCTTTATGTTAAGATATTACACAGCCATTTAGTAAAGGAGTAACTATGAGTAACACTCAACTGTTACACAGGGCTAGAGGTATGCTAAAATGGTAATAGGGTTGTATTTGGGTGGTAAAACTCTGGATTTTTAAATATTCTGTTTGTTTTTTCATTTTCTGAACTTTCTTTCATTAGTATTTATTGCATTTATTTTTTTTTTTTTTTTT